AAGTCTGGGAACTTTTGTTAAGGCAGATTTCTCCAAGTTTGATGGAACGTGGAACGCTTTCCTCCGCTTAAGGGTAACCATTGAGGTCAACAAGCCCCTGCGAAGAGGAGTAAGATTCAGGCAACCGAATGGAGAGCCCCTTTAGTTGGAATGCAAGTACGAGAGGCTACCAACCTTCTGTTTTATTTGTGGTAGACTGGGGCATGCTGAAAAATTCTGTCCACATGAGCTAGCAATCGATGATGATAGTGTGGAGAGACCGTATGGTCCGGAGCTGAGAGTTGCGAGAAGAAACAACACCATTGAGTCTAGCAAATGGTTCCGTTCAGAACTACCCTTCCAGGTTGTTCAGTCACCGGAAAATGCCGCCGGAGATACTATCCATCAGGCGAACGCGGGCGGTATCCCGAGGTACGAGGTTGGTGGAGGACAATCGGCACAAAGAACTGACCTTCACCCATCGGTCATTACCCAGGAGGCAGAAGACGTTGGTGCTCAGTGTTCAGAGGCAATTAATTCGCATACTGACAATATTAATGACACAAGCGACAACAATTTTTCAAAAATCCCATCCCATGCCTCAGTTATGGATCTTCTCATGACTGACCCAAATAGAAAGAGAAGGGCCGAATACATAAGTGGGCCGAGTGAGGGCAATCTGAACAGTGAGGAGCCCATGATCGTGGAAGAGGAAGGCCGTGAAATTTCGAAGGAGTATTCTTTTTTAGAGGTGGGCTCTGCTGGTCAGGCCCGCCTACATCAATGAGTTTTTTAGCTTGGAACTGTCGTGGGCTTGGCAACCCAGAGACAGTTCAAGTTCTGGTGGATCTGATCCACTCTAAGAGGCCAACGGTTGTCTTTCTTATGGAAACTCTTACTAATAACTCTAAGTTACAGTCTATTAAAAATCAGGTGGGCTTTCTTGGCTTGTTCACGGTGGACAGTATGGGCCGGGGTGGAGGTTTAGCACTGTTATGGAAGAACGATTCTGAGGTCAGCATCACGGGTTTCTCCCAACATCATATAGACGCTACAATCACGACGGCAAATAATCTTGAACCTTGGAGGTTCACAGGGTTCTACGGGAACTCGAAGTGGAACGAACGAAGAGATTCTTGGAGCCGTCTCTGTCACTTGGCCACGATATGCTCTCTACCATGGGCACTAATGGGGGATTTCAACGACATTCGCAGCTCTTCCGAGAAGATTGGTACTCACCCGCACCCTCAGTGGCTCATCAGGGGTTTCAATGAAGCCATAGAACGTAGTGGTCTTAGGGATTTTGAATTTGAGGGATGCCAGTTTACATGGGAGAAATCTAGGGGCACTCCGAATTGGATCCGGGAAAAGCTCGACAGAGTATTGGTAAATGATGCGTGGCTGGAGAGGTTCGGGAATGCAACTGCAAGGTCTCTAACTGTGCCTTCTAGCGATCACCTGCCTCTATTCCTAAACACCATTCCTACTGTCCGCCAGCATAGAAGGAGGAAATTCAAGTTCGAGAACGCTTGGCTCAAGGAGAATCATTGCAGGGAAATTGTTTCAAATTGCTGGGAGCAATCCACTGGTTATCATGTGCTGATACCATGGTTGCAGTAGGCGCTGGGCGCTAGTCGGGCGCCCGGGCAGCGCCTAGCGCCTAAGCGGCCTAGTCGGCGCCTAGGCGGAATTTAGGCGGCGCTAGGCGGTCGCGAAAAAAACAGTAGCAGACTTGCAATTTGACAATTTTAATGATGTTGTTTTCAACATTCAATCAAATAACACATCCAAATAAATGACATAATGACAAATTCATAAGTCATCACATCAAAAGAATATTAAAAAAAAAAAAAACTCAAATGAAATACCCAAATACTTCAATCATCCAAAGAGTGAAAGTATCAAACTAGTCTACGAGTGTATATATGTCATATTATATGTATATGTCATATAAATGGAAAAAATTAGCAAGGTCGGGTCGGTCGGGTTAACTCGACTAACTCGACAGAAATTGACGAGTTAACTTGGCGTAATCAGACGAGTTAGGCGCTAGGCGGCTGAATTAGGTGCTAGGCGGGCGCCTAGGCGGCCAGTCTCCTAGGCAGGAGCCTAGGGCGGAAATCGCCACGGTCTATGGGCGCCTAGTGCCTAGGCGCCAATTACTCGGTGCCTAGGCGGGATTTTTACAACCCTGGCTGATACGCCTTGATACATGCAGCAAGGCCATCTGGGAATGGGGGAGAAAGAAGAATTCAAATTTTCAGCCTAGGATCGATTATTGGGCAAATAGGATGGACTCTCTTAGAAGCAGAACTGATACTCAGGGATTGGCAGCGTATGCGGATGCCCAGAGGAATTATCTGGACCTCTTAAACCAACAAAATACTTTCTGGAGGCAAAGAGCAAAGGTCCACTGGTTCAAGGGTGGAGACATAAATTCTAAATTCTTCCACATGTCATGTCAGCGCCGTAGGAGGAATAACCACATTGCAAAGCTTATGGATGATAGGGGAGTTTGGCACGAGGAGGGCCCAGAGCTCAACAACCTGATGATTGATTACTTCAACCATTTGTTTGCTTCCTCCCAAGGTGACATGGAACCTATCTTGAATTGCATTTCTGCCAGAATAACCGAGGCAAACAACGTTGGTCTTCTAAGAAGGGCTAGTGCAGAGGAGGTCAAGAGGGCTGTTTTTGGAATGCATCCGGATAAATCTCCGGGACCTGACGGTTTCAACCCGGGTTTTTATCAAGCCTATTGGGACATACTAGGCTCAGACATTGTAAGGCTGTGTAATGAGTTCTTATCCACTGGTCACCTGCCAAGAGGCCTAAACTCAACTCAGCTTGTCCTTATTCCAAAGAAGGCCAAACCAGTGTCCATGGGGGATTTGAGACCTATTTCTCTCTGCAATGTAGTGTATAAGATCTTTGCAAAGGTCTTAGCCAACAGACTTAAGCCTCTCATGAACAGCCTTATCTCGGAGAACCAAAGCGCTTTCGTTCCCGGTCGCCTGATTACGGATAATATTATGATAGCATTTGAAGCTCAGCATTATCTGAAGAACAAGAGGCAGGGGGCTAAAGGCTTTGCTGCTTTAAAACTAGATATGAGCAAAGCGTATGACCGGGTAGAGTGGGGAATGTTGCATGCTATGCTGCTGAGACTCGGATTCTGTCACAGATGGGTGATGATGATTATGGAGTGTGTTAGTACAGTGGAGTATGTCATTCAACGGGACGGAGTTGAGCTAGGTCCTATTATCCCACAGAGAGGTCTTAGACAAGGAGATCCGTTATCTCCCTATTTGTTCATTCTAGTGGGAGAAGGCCTAAGTGCTCTCATCAGGAAGCAGGAATCGTTAGGAACTTTTCAGGGATTAAGAATTGCTCGTAATGCTCCCAGAGTTTCCCACCTGCTTTTCGCGGACGACAGCTATATCTTCTTCAAAGCTACTCAGACTCAATCCTCCACTTGCAAGCACATCCTAGACATGTATTCTGCAGGCACTGGACAGCTGGTAAATTTTGATAAATCCTCTCTAAATTTTAGTAAAAATGTAGGTGGGGCAGTGAGGGGGGTTGTTAGTTCTATCCTTGGGGTGAGAATGGAAGGAAATGCTGGGAGTTACCTAGGCTTGCCATCCATAGTTGGCAGGAATAAAAATGAAATACTAGGCTTTATCAAGAGTAAGATTGTTTCTAGGATCAATTCTTGGAACCATAAGTTCCTTTCTAGGGCGGGAAGAGAGGTTCTTTTGAAGAGTGTGATTCAGGCAATCCCTTCCTTTGCTATGAATCTGTTTTTGCTTCCTCAGGGGCTGGTGAGCGATATAGAGAGGACTATGAATGGCTTTTGGTGGGGGAAGTGTGGTGATCAGGGTAGAGGATTGAGATGGAAGGCCTGGGATAAACTCTGTGTTCCTAAAAAATGGGGAGGAATGGGCTTCCGTAGGATCAGGGATTTCAACATTGCCATGCTCTCAAAACAAGCTTGGAGGCTAATTAATCATCCGGATTCTCTTGCTGCAAAAATCATGAAGGCTAAGTATTACCCGGATTCTCATTTTGTTGAGGCCAGAAAGGGTGGTAATCCATCTTTTGTGTGGTCTAGCCTGCTGGAAACAAGGAGCATTATTCAAAGAAATACTCGTTGGAGAATTGGGAATGGACTCTCTGTTCGTATCTGGCATGATGATTGGTTGCCCGATGCCACAAATCCTATGGTCACCACTCCACCATATCCTTACCTCCATCATGCTACTGTTAATTCTCTGTTTGATTCCAGGGGTTTAGGTTGGGATGAAGAAGTAGTCAAAGATATTTTCAATCCAAGAGATGCCCAGCTTATACTTAGTATCCCTATCCCGCAGTGTAACAGAGATGACAAGATGATTTGGATCAATGATGAGAAGGGATCATTCACAGTCAGAAGCTGCTACAAATCCATCTCGCAGGATTTCACTAACTTTCCCACTGAAAAATGGTCTGATGTGTGGAAGCTTCATATCCCTCCCAGAGCAAAGGCATTCATTTGGCAAGTATGTTCAGGCTGCCTCCCGACTACTGACAAGTTGCGCCAGCGAAGAATTGATTGTGATCTTATGTGTCCTTTGTGCCATGAAGACGAGGAATCAGACTTCCACCTACTCGCAGAATGCAGATTCGCGTCACAGTGCTGGAGCATCTTCCATCCATTGCCGGACAAGAATCAGTACCAAAACTGCTCGGATTGGATTGCTCAAGTCTGTTGCACTTTGGAGAAGTCACAGGTTTGTCTGTTCGTTATCATATGCTGGAATATATGGCGAGCCAGGAACGATAAAGTTTGGAAGAACACCTCTACACCACCCAAGGCCGTTGTGGAGAACTCTAAGTTTTTTTGGAGAGACTGGAAAGCTTGCACTGATGTAGCATACCATGACCGCGGGTAGAACAGTAGTTGCATAAGATGGAGCAGGCCATCACCGGGGTGGTACAAATTGAATGTGGATGCCGCCTTGAATGTCAACTTAGACAGAATGGGCTTAGGATGGGTCCTTCGTGATCACCATGGTTCCTTCTTATCTGCAGTCAGTCAGCCGTGGACCGGAACTTACTCTCCTAGGGAAGCTGAAGCCGTAGCAATCAGAGAAGCATTAAGTTGGTCCAAACAGCACAGCATTGAGTATCTTCATGTTGAGACGGATTCCTTATTGGTTGTTCAGGGTCTATCATCTCCTGGATCCGTCACCTCGTTTGATCTTCTCTTAGTTGATGTAAAAGATTCGTTGAGTGCTTTTGCTCATTGTTGTATCTCTTTTGCGAAACGTTCTGCGAACCGGACGGCCCATCTCTTAGCGAGGGAGTCCGTTTCTTTGTCTGAACGTAAGGAGTGGACTTCTGTTCCTCCTTCTTTCATTTGTAATGCTCTTTCGTATGATTTAATATAAGCTTGTTTGTTCTAAAAAAAAAAAAGGTTGGATTTCATGCTACAAGCAGTAAGTAGTGAAGGCAATAAGCTAGGAATTCAAAAAGACTTATAGACCACACGCTCTGTCGGCAGGCGAAAGAGCGAGTGCAATAGACCAGTAGAAGGTCTACTGCTCTGCTAGTACGCTCTCAATAGTTAGGAAAAATTAGAGGAAGAGTAAATACTCAAAATGGTCCCTCGACTATAGCTAAATTTACAAATTGGTTCTCGATTTTTAATTTCAATCAATAAAGTTCTTAACTTTGCAATTTTAACACGATTTGATCCCCTGTCTATTTGACCGTTTGTTGACTGTGATTTTTGAGAATATATATGTAACCAAAGGCGTGGGGAGTGTTGATAGATAGAAGAAGACCTTGCGTGAATGGACTGCAGTCTATTGCAATTTCACCTTCATCCAAGACGCCAACTCTAGGTACACGATTCGTGTTTTTCGCATTTACCATAGATGACACTGCCAGCCCACACCTACTTTTACCTATTTACCCTCCTGAAATAATTATTACTACCGTTACTGTCTATTTTAGTGGGATTTAATTCTCAACAATTGTGTAAACTCAGCCATTTATTTGTTTAATCCGACAGCTAATAATAATCCACATTCCTCACCTAGCAAACGATCCTCACTTGATCTTCACCCTATATATATATATATATATATATATATATATATATATATATATATATATATATATATATATATATATATATATATATATATATATATATATATATGACTAAGGTTCAAATTGGCCACTGAACGTAACCTGAAAATGCAATTAGGTCACTGAACGAAAAAAAAAATGCAATTAGGTCACTGAACACTTCAAAAACGTTCAATTAGACCACTGAACACTCCAAATGTATGCAATTTCACCGGATAGCAGGTTACCATCAATTTTAGCAAGTTACCTGCTTAAGTGGCAACTGAGTTGGCATTTTTAATAAATTTTAATAAAAAATTTAAAAAAAAAAAAAAAAAAAAAAAAAAAACGACGGCCACCCCCTTCCCCCTCCTTCATCTCCAACTGAAGGAAGAGGGGGGTGGGGGAAGGGGGTGGCCGCCGTCGTTTTTTTGTTTTTTTTTTTAAATATTATTAAAATTATTTAAAATTTATTAAAAATGCTAATTCAGTTGCCACGTAAGTAGGTAACCTGCTAAAATTGATGGTAACCTGCTATAAGGTAGAAATTGCATACATTTGAAGTGTTCAGTGGCTTAATTGCACCTTTTTTTTTTTGGTTCAGTGGCCTAATTGCATTTTCAAGTTACGTTCAGGGCCAATTTGAACCTTATTCCTTTTAATTAATTAATTAATTAATAATAAATAATATTTTTAATTTTTATTATAGAGTAAATACCTAAAATAGTCCCTTGACTATAGCTAAATTCACAAATTGATCCTCAACTATTGATTTCAACCAATTAAGTCCTTAACTTTTCAATTTTGACCAAATTAAGTCCTCCGTCTATTTGACTGTTTGTTGACCGTTATCTATGAGGATATTTATGTAATTCCAATGCTCTTTCTCCCTTTTTAGCCGCATGCCCGTGTCTTCCAGCTCCAGCAACGCTTGTTGTTCTCCGGGCGCGCATTCGAACGTGTTTCCGACGAAGAACGAGAACATCGTCGAAAAAAAGGTTTAGTCGCAGATCTTGCACCTCCTTTTCCGGCTTGCCGTTAATCCTGTTGGATAATCAGATCACGTCTTTCATATACGTTTCGACTTTGGAGGCGAGCGATTCGAGATCCTCCTCCCCGTCAGGTGGTCGGTCTTCCAGCAACGTGACCTCCGCACCAAGTACGGCTTGGTCCGGCCAACTTCGTGACTTGGAATAGGTCCTGGCCTTTGCAGATTAGGAAGAAGCGGTCGTCGACGAGGCGCCCGCGCTTCACCACTTCCTCGACGCAGCCCACCTCGGTGGCGCGCTGTCGGAGTAAATGACCCCGAATCAGAGATCGGTCTACAGCAGAGTGTGCATCATGATTCGGTACCGGAACTCGAAGATCTGAAGCGGAAGGATTGTGCCGAGGAAGAGCACTAGCTGCAGAGGGAAAAACGGATGTTTACATGTGGACATGTGTTTATAAGTGTTTCTGTAATTTATACCATGGAGCTTAGCAATTGAAGGACTTAATTGGGTCAACAAACGGTCAAATAGACGAAGGACTTAATTGGGTCAAAATTGAAAATTTAAGGACTTAATTGGTTGAAATCATTAGTCAAGGACCAATTTGTGAATTTAGGTATAGTCGAGGGACCATTTGGGGTATTTACTCTTTATTAAATAAAAAACATTTGTTTTAAAAAATAAAATAAGAAGGACACGTGTCAACACCATATCAATTTAACCTGATAAACAAGTCATATTGGACTTAATTGAACAATTTTACTGGTTTAGGGGACTTGAATGAAGCTTTTTTCACTTAGGGGACCCAATTGCACTATCCACTTGACTTAGGGGGCCAATTTGATACTTTTCCCTTGATTAGTTGATAGCATTAGCTTATTGTAGAAAAATATTTGATAAATTAGTTGTTTTTTTTATAAATTAGTTGTTAGCTGATAACTGATTACATTTAAAAATGACTTTCTCAATAAGCTAATCGAAAAGCTACTTTGAATAGCTTTTTAAATTTTAGCATTTTGGAGCAATAAACTGTTACAAAAAACTAATTAATCAAACACTCATATTGATTGTTTAACCAAGTCAAACAACTAATAGTGGTCAAATAGGCCAAAATTGATTGATAAATTAATTATGTTACCAAACAGAGCCTATGTGATTTCAGTTAATAAATTATGTGTCTTTAAATAAATTAAAAACACATAATATGTTTACTATAAACACATAACTACATATTATGTATCTACAGTTAACATATTATATGTGTATGTGTTTGTAGTTAACATACTAGAGTAAATTCCATTTCCGATCGTACATTTATAGGTGACAAATTCACTTTTAGTTATGCTTTCAAAACATCCCCTTTGATCCTAATATTGTTGTGGTATGACCATTTTTTGCTCTCCGTCAACAAAATCATTGAAATGTCATTAAATACAAGGACATTTCGGTCTTTTTATTCTATACAAAGTGGATTAACCCGCTATATTTTTATATTTATTTTCTTAAAAAAAATTATAATTGAAGATCTAAATGTCCTTGTATTTTATAAAATTTCAACAATTTTCCATGTTTGTAATTTATAATTGATGAACCCTAATCCATAGTATAATGATTAACTTCTAAAAGTTGTGTAATTCACTCAAAAAATGTGTTGCATTAATGTTATATGTTAAAAATGAATGTTGCAAATTCAAAACTTGTATTTAATGTCGAATTGTTTAATTTATATTCAGGGTGTTCTAACTTCTGACGATTAAGATATCTAAATTGTCTTTCTTGAAGAAGTTGGAGTTCTGTTTTTCTTTTACTTTCAAACTTCATATATTGTTGTTAAGGAAGGCAACTTGCGAGAAGAATTGGATAAGCATGCATAAACCACCCGAAGGGACGAACAGCGGCCAACCGGCTAGCCCAGATCGTCAAAGTAGCCCGACTCTCGATCGACCGGGGGGGGGGGGGGGGGGGGGGGGGGTCTACGAGGGTTATCGACGATCGCCGCCGCCGGCACGAAGGTGGTAGCCGGAGGGTTCGCGGTTTAACCTTGATAGTCACCCGCGGCGGAAGAAGACGGAGGCAGGGAGGAAGACATGAAGAAACAGCGAAAAAAAAAAAAGAAAGAGGTGGAGGGAAAGCTCTGGAAAAAGAAGGAAAATGAAGGCTAACCTGAAAGATCGACGGCCGGAGGTAGACGAAACTGACACAGAGGGATGAAATACGTCGGCCATCGAGAAAAGAGGGGAGCTTGTGGTTTAGAAGGGGGAGAGAGCGCCGGAAAACTCAAATGGTGCGAAGAAGAACAATGGGAGGGGAATTGTGGAGTAATTATAAGGTTGGATGACCGGCGAGATCATGACACGTGCCCTCGATCGGACGGTGGGGGAGTGATGAAATGTCTGACATGACGGTTATGGAAAGGCGCATCTCGAAACCCTAACCGACGAAATGCGAGGGGTCGTCATAATTACACTACAACGACCGTACCGCTTCGCAAAACCAATTGAACAAAGAGGGATCAGTCAAAGAAAGAGCTGACTCCCGACCGGGCTCCCAGTTGGCCTGCTCAGACAAAGACTGCTAGGCGGTCGGGTTACCTCAATGCATGTTTTCTACTTTTCAGGTCATCGCTTGGCTAGACCTAAAAAAGTGAGGGACTGATGATAGAAACCCCAAATTGGACACCCAGTCTGGAGTGTGAGGCAAGGCAGTCAGGTTCGAGCATGACCTGATACTTAGCAAGTTAGACGACATCCACGGTTCCCATTCGTCACACGAAACGCCTGAGAGATCATAACCAGTCATCCCCGACAACTAGTCGTCCAAGAAGACAGGCGCATACCGGGACGGAGATTGTCTGGCTTGGGTAAAGCGACCATGCTCGGTAGCCGGTGTGTCCTCGGCTGGGTTCGCACATGAGACTCGGTTGAGCGACCAGCCTCAGTAGTCGGCGTGTCCCCGACTAGATCTCCTCCCGGGATTCGGATGGGCGACCAGGCTCCGTTGGCGGTGTGTCCTTGACCGGGTACCGCTCAGGAACTCAGCTGTGCGACCAGGCTCAACGGTCGGGGTGTCCTCTCCCGAGTATCGCGGCCCCTCCTCAGGTCATATCTCAGGCAGTCAAGGCGTTACCTGCTGGGTGCTCATCTAGAGGCGGTTACAAACAGATTTCGTGGAGATCTCTTTCTTCATTCGATACAAACAGCTTTCTTTATTAGCTTAGGTATTTATGGCATTAAGGAAGCCGGATTCCCTAACTAATTTGGCTCCATATCAGCCCTACTTTCCTTGTAGGAATTTTGTACCATTGTATAAATATCCCCACGGGATCATCATGTAAGGGGTCGAACGGCCGAAACCCTTGAGAAATAATATCACAATATTCTCTCAACTACGCTGAGTCTTTCACTCACAAAAACACCCTAAGTATTATACGGTGGTGTTGCCCCGCTGAACGGCTACCAAAGGTCGTAAAACCAACACGATCTTTGGGCGTAATTCCCTTTATGGGAGAAGCGTACCCGTTTGTGGTCCTCGGATCGATCTTTGGGCGTAATGCCCTTTACGGGGGAAGCGTACCCGTTTATAGTCCTCGGACCGATCTTTGGACGTAATGCCCTTCACGGGGGAAGTGTACCCGTTCATGGTCCTCAGACCGATCTGTGGGTGAATACCCATTGCGGGAGGAGCGTGCCCCTTTAAGGTCCTCAGACCAGTTTGATTTGTAGGAGTAGTGTTCTTTGCAGCAGTGGAAGTTTCTCTCCGCCGGCAATGGCCTTCCTCTCGGCGGCATGGACTGGTCCCCGACGAGAAGAACCCGTAGGTTTCTCGTTAAAGTAGTTAGCTCGGGAGTGAGCTCAAGAATCGAATGCTTGGCTTTGGAAGCTTAGCTTGAGGTAAGTTCCTATGTCCGTTTAAATTACTTTGCCTTATTAAATGTGCTACTTATTTGAGTTGTGTACTTAAATTATTTTGAAAACGTGTTCTAGTTTCAAAATGTGACAAATAGCAAAATATGGTTATTTTGGGGTTGACTTGTGATCTATATGGGTTGAAACTATATTTTTGAAAGGTGTATAATCTATGGTGTGCCTAAATGTTTTGTGTTGAAACCTATTATAATTGGGATTGATTTGAGTATTGGAAAACTTATAATTTTGTGATATATATTTATATTTCTATAGAGTTCGATGAAACTCATGCTTTGAGAAATTGTGGTTGAAAACCTAAGTATATTGAAATGAGTGAAACTATGTTTATATTGGAGGATATGGAGTTATATTTATTTTTGAAGGACTATCTATTTGGAGGAAATGTGTAAATTAGCGAAAATGTATAAATTAGAGAAAATGATTATTTTGCTGACTATTATATTCCTTTTTTTTGGAGGATATATAAAAATATATCTATTTTTGGATGATATGTGGATAACTGGATATGATGGATGGTTGTGGAATGGTGGACTTCGGTCCTATGTGGGCTCTGGCCCTATTTTGATGAGATTGTGTCTGGTAGAAAACATCCTGGATACCTATTATATGTGGAGTAGCCTGGTAGAAAACATCCTGGGCTACTTGGACTAGTTACTACTCTTTTGGGTGGGGGAAGCCCATTAGGGGGTGTGCACACTTAATGTTTTAGTCCTTTATCCCACGAAAGGGACAAACTTGTGGAGTGGCCGGTAGAGTGGATTACCGTGTCACTAGGGCTTAGTTGATCTAAGACCCTTCGTCCCTTTCACCTTATATATATGAGAGTATATGGATATGTGATACTTGGAAAAGTTTTGAATTCCTCCCAATCTATTATTATTGACATATATGTTTCTGAGAATGACTTGAGAGAAATCTATATCTTGATATGATGACTTGAAGAGATTATTATTTTGCTATTATGAATTACTCCATATATACTTGTATACCTATCTATACTTCCAAAATGATTATGTGGAAAGCTATGCTTTGAAATGATACTCATATTGAGAAGTGATATTTCTAAATCCTCCATACTTATTATTTTGGGAAATGAACGAATGATTTATAGGGTAGTTATATTGTTTTGGAAAGAGTAAATGTTACTATTTTGGCGACCCTATAACTAATATGAAACCTAATGCTATTTTGAGTGGAGTGTGTTATGGCCTTGGTGCCTATTTCATTTTGAGAGAATTATCTTGGAAAATGAATTACTACTTACCTTTGTTATTGAGTCAAACTATATGATTGAAATGATTTTAAAACTCATTTACAAAGTATGTCCAATTTGAAAAGTATAAATGTAAGTATTTTACAGGGCGGAGTAGAGCTTACTTAGCATTTTATGCTAATCCTTTTATTTGTGTTTTCCAAACCTTAATGTTTGCAGGATTTGAAGTTGTTGCTAGTTTGAGTGCGGCGTAGACCTCGTAGTCTTGGATTTGAGTTTGGTATAACTGGTTTAGTCTTAGAACTTAAATTGTTGTTGTAGTTAATTTGTGATTTGGAAAGTGGAATGTTGTAATATGGATTTGTAGATAGAAACTTTTTTAGCCTGTGCATTTGGGCTTAGTTGGTTGCCCAAGCGTGGCATAGCACCCCAATGGTTTAGATTTTGATTTTGCTTCCGCATTTGTATTTAGTCGTTTAGTAAGAAAAGTCTTTTATTTTGGATGGTGATTTGAAAAACTTCCAGGGAACGGGGACGGGATGCTGCTCCCCGCCCTGCCCCGTCTCCAAATATATATATATATATATATATATATATAGGGCTGGGCATTTCGATTCGGCCTCAAACCGAAGAACCGATCTGTCCAATGGTTTAGATTTTGATTTTGCTTCCGCATTTGTATTTAGTCGTTTAGTAAGAAAAGTCTTTTATTTTGGATGGTGATTTGAAAAACTTCCAGGGAACGGGATGCTGCTCCCCGCCCTGTCTCCAAATATATATATATATATATATATATATATATTAGGGCTGGGCATTTCGATTCGGCCTCAAACCGAAGAACCGATCTGTCCTTGGTTTTCTGCTTTTTTTTTAAATGTTTAAGGTGAGGTTTGAACTCTTACTCATTTAGTTATAAACTAAGAACTTTAACCACTAAGCTATAGCCACATTTATGTCTATATTCACATTTGTATCGTAATAAACGCATACATTTTTCATTAAATGTTGCACACTTCAAATATAATGAATAAAATTATCCGTACTACATTCTTGTTAGACTACAATACCATTATACCGTTATTACACCGTTGCTATTTAATTCTAAAAATTTCATAATTCTATCATTATTATCATACACCTCTATATATATATATATATATATATATATATATATATATATATATATATATATATATATAAAATTAACTATGATATCTTTTTTCTATTCTTTAATTATTATTTTATTAAAATCATTATATAATTACTTTAATTGTTGATTATATTTTAATTAAATTTCTATGAATAGTAAATCATATATGTGTGTATATATATAAAGATACACACACGTACCAATATATGTGACCAGGTACTAGATTAGAATTATAGATATATTATTTAATTATTGTAAAAACAAAATATAAATTATATCAAAATTGTTTATATTATTAATAAAAAAATATAAATTTTGTTCATCTCTATAATTTTCAAATACGATGATTAAAATTTACTACTTTAAGTAATTGCGAAATATAATTTGAACTATAATTTGTAATTATTTGCATTTATCAATTTTGTAATGTTAGACATAAATTTTCGTGCATCACGCATACAAAATGCTAGTATTATATATAAATATATAAATATTATAATAATTAATAATTTTAACTCCTCAAGTCTTCAAATCTCAACTCCAAGTTGTAAGTCCCAACATTTGGTGTTTTAATAATTTTTATTTTTCAAATATTAACTATAGATGAATGATTCTTCATTTTGTCATCAACAAAATACTTCAAGTGGCACTCCAAGTGAGCCAATTGAACAATCGGTTAGGCAAAAAAAGAAACGTTCAAATAGTAGACTTTCACCAAAACCGAACCGAACCGAACTTTTCAAATCGAAACCGAACTCTATTTTAAACTGAAGGGTTTAATTTTTTTAAAACCGAAAAACCAAAACCGAAACCGAAACCGAAAAAAAACCGAACCGAAACCCTAAGTGCTATATATATATATATATATATATATATATATATATATATATATATATATATATATATATATATATATATATATATATATATATAAAATAAGAATTAGGTTTTTAGTTTTTAAAATTAAAAATTATATTAATTTAAGATTTTGACTAAGAGTTGACCAAAGACGAGAATTTGCCTAATTCCTCGCAGGGACGGAGATGAGGACTATTTTCAATTTCTCGCCGGGGACGGGGACGAGGAGTATACTCCCCGCCCTTTTGTCATCCCTACTCAAAATAGGAGGCTAGAAAGTGAAAAATTATATTGCAAAAGTGGTTTCAATATAAGAAGGAGAATAAGATGTGAATTTCCTGCTTTTAAGGGTTTTTAAAGTTTTCTCTCAAGTTGAGACGGAAACTTAACGTTGGAGACTAAACTCGTCACTTTACTCATACTAAGGTATAAAATATAGATAAATTTATAACTAAAGAACTAAGTCGAAACTTACTCAAAAGACCAAATATATATGCAATTTTCTCTTTAAAAATATATGAGCCAACATTACATATTTACATTCGACCAAGGCTGCTAGCTCTCCACATTAGAGTAAATTATTTCTTCTGTCAATTATATTTCATTTTATAAAAAGAAAGAAGCTCAATGCATTTCATTTGGTTGCTTCTAAGATATAATGACATATCTACTTTAAATTCTCAATTTTAATTAAAATTTTACCAAACTCCATCCTACTATATTTAATTTAAAGAATCAAGATACATTAAAAGCTTTTGAAAAAATAGAAATGTCACTGCAATCAAGAGACTATACCCTCCTTAAAAAGATGAAATTGTTTGAACAAAAGGCAAAATAAAAGCATATTATTAAGATATTCCTGTATAGAAGGTAAAAAAACCTCTAAAACTATCAATAGATAATCATCAGTGCTGCAAAACTGCTCTTAGACTACATTTTTACAGTATTTCAAATATAGATGAGAAGTGATACAAACACATCTGCTCCTCCCTAAAGATTCCAAATTACAAATTTATGTAGGATGAAATCTGAATCCTGAAAACTGAAATTAGCCAATTAAAACATCCCTTCCACCAAATCAAATGTATAGGGGTTTTAGAGCCTCAACTCCCATTCCACGATCATCACGAAAGGAATGATACTCTACTTCCTAGACGCGAATAGCTTTCAAGTTCGGAGTATATGTTGAGAAGATAAACGTGAAATGAGGAGGACATATCACCCATTGTGTTCTCCTATCATTTAGGACGCTATAATCAGAAATAACTAAAAGTCTAAGCTGATAGTTGGATTACATATTATATATTATATGCTTAGCACGCCCTCAAAGCATGTGCTTCATCTCAACTAATGTCTAAGCTGATAATTGGACTGTACATTTATGTTTATATATTATATATGCTCAACAGTTGTATCAGGAGAAATGCAGCAAAAGGAAGCATTGATAGAATAGAGAGAGTTACCTGAGGAAGTGAATGTTAGCATTTCAAAGGACAGGACAGGACAGGAGGTCCCCCAATCACGCCAGCAGAGCAGCCTAGCTTGATCTCCAGAGGTATAAATGATGCCTTATAGGCCAACAGCCCACCTGTAAGAGAGCAAAAACAGATAAACAGCCTGAAAGAACACCAAAAACCACACTGAAAGAACATCTGTAACACCTAAAGCTTAAAAATAAACAATTTCTTGATTCCCTATAAAAACTATATATTTCCCATAGTTAAAAACTGAAAGGTATAGTAATAATAAAAATATCATACATCTAAAAATCTGGGATGTCAGATCAAGCCACTCTCAATGTGATGTAAGTAGAAGCGGGCCAACTGATGAGCTGAACATATGACTAAGGGCTAGTTGAACCTGATTTGATCCATGCTCACAACTTACCAAGCTTGTGAGTAATGGGAAGAAGCAAGACAAGTTTTTTCTAAATGACGATTCTCCTAAACTACAAATAGCCTGCAAAGTTGAAACAACGAGAGGTGCCCGTACAGCCAACTCTCTACGTTTACCAGAACCTAAGGGAACCAACCAACGAGTAGATGAGTGAGATAGTGGTCCAGAGCATGCAACTTCAATATAAAACTGCAGGACCTCATGGCATAGGTTGACAAAGTAGGCCTCCATTTCAGGCTCTTCAGAACTGGGAGGTCTGTCAACTGCATGATACTTTAAAACCGTGAGGCAACTTTTATAAGACTCGTTTTCAAGGCGCAATAATGGAGGGTCCTGCATTTGGGTCATGGAGCCAAGTTCATGCAGCTTTGACCGCAATATGGCATCACTGTTTATCTTGTGAGCCTGAAATGCAACAGTATGCACAGCATCAAAGAGGACAACAACATTTTTCGCGGAAAGCTGCTGTTTATATATGTTATAAATCTCCACTACTGCCTGCAATTTTAGAAAGTAACCAAATTCTGTAAGACACTTATCTGCATTGAATCTTCACAGAAATATAACAGGAATGCATTGAAAGTTGCTTAAAAGGAAAAGATCTAAAATCACAAAAAAAAAAAAAAAAAAAAAAAAAAAAAAAACTCATTCTCTCACTTCAAAGATTTACTTCACTTTTCTCCCTAAACTAAACATGAAAGTTCCATGGCTTAAAAGCCTATACTATGTATTCCATTCATCTTAACAATTTTTATCAATGAAACATGACAAGAAAGATAACATCCCAGTGTTCATTGACATAGACATCCTAGGTAGTATTAAAAATTTTAAAAATATAAAATAAAAATAAAATAAGGATAAATGAAGAAAAGGAAGTTTGTTTGGGGGATCAGTAGAAAAATGCATCTGGGGTCTTACTTTATAAAAAATTCAAATATTTAAAAAAAAAAAAAAAAAAAAAAAAAAAAAAAAAAAAAAAAAAAAAAAAGCTACCTGAACTATTAGAAATTGAACAGCAGCCCTACACTTGACATCAGAAATAGAAGTGTATAGATGATGAAGCCTCAGGTTTCGTTTATCATCATCAGGTGTATCTGTTACAGCTGATTCTCCTGTGTTCCTGCTCAGAATTTCCTCCTCTGTCAAAAGCTTATTATTATCTTCATCTTCAATTAGAATAAAAGAGAAATCAGGAAGTGTAGCACGAGCTGCTTCTTTAATAAATGAAACTACTTCAAACCACTTGTCTTCAGAGAATAGATTCCCAGCACTGCTGGTCAGACGAACAAAAGAAGTAATGCCAATACCAGAAAGGCCCTGGTGAGGATGCTTAATAAAACTCACCAATATCGTCAGCACCTTCCACATGAGTGGATTTACTGTGTTATAAAACTTAACTAAAAGATCCACAATCACTTCGAAAGTCAGTGTGCACATATCATAAAGCCACACATCTTGATCTTGTTTGCCTTCATCACCATCTAATCCTTGCTCCAGTGAGTTTTCACCAGAAGGATTAATAGTAAGTTGAACGTAGTTAAGGATCGGAAATAAGACAGATTCAAAGATCCTTTCCCACAATGGTAAAGAGAAATGATGACCATAGTTGCGTAAAGAATCAAAGAGCACTTCTAGAGCGTTCTTCCTGATTTCAGGACTTGGGTCAAGGCTTAATTCAGACAATCCTGTGAAAATGAATCAAAATAAGTAAACTCAAAAGAATAATAAATAATTCAAGTATCAGATCTGGGTCAATTTGAAGCCTCCATAAAATCATAAAACTGAAAGTTAAGATTTTCTTACCAGCCAACAATGGAAACCATAAATAATAATGATCCTCCTTGTTTGCTAACTCCCCATTCTCATTCGTTTTACCATTTCCCTTCTGAAGTTTAGAGATACTTCCTGAAGTTTCTTCGTCCTTGTTCTTTGAAGAGTCGAGATCTCCTTTAGCAAGTTTATCCGCACAGAAACGTAACAAAGCAAAGGCATTAAGATTAATGTCTCGGTCGGGTCTACTATTTGTGAATGCAACAAGACAATTAACACAGACTGTGAAAGCCCTCTCAGTCTCAGTAATATATGGAAAACAATCTCGAACAATCTTTTCCATTATTTCAAAGGCTAGAAGCACAGTGCTTTTGTGGCCATCATAAGCAGCTGTAGTAAAAACCTGAAAACATTCACCAAAAAATTTCCCATATCTTAACAAAAAGAGCTAAAAATAAAATTAACATGAAAAAAAAATATCGCCAACAAATATTTCCCCAAGTATCTTTATAACCAATCAATTAATTAAAAAAAAAAAGCAGCAGGATTTATCATAGAAAGCTAAAAGAAATGTAATTATGAGGTGAAAGTATTAGGAGGGATTCAATACCATGAACATGCTTTTCCATCCTGACTTCACATAATTAACTCGAGACAAAACCATCTGAGACACACATCTGATTATTAACTCTCTGATTTCTATAGCACTGCTCTTATGCATAACAATCACAAAGGGTTTCATAAATTCATTCTGAAAATTATAATTAGTCAGTTCCCCCAGCTCCAGGAATTTCATTGACAACTGGCGTAAAGAGTCCATTGCAAATATGGCAATTGAAAGGTTTTCGGAACAGCCAATGGTCACAAAGAAATCAGAAAGTACATTCCAGATTTTTGACCAAACAAGCCTGATCCTATCCATGTTGTAGTGCCTGTTTATGTATAAAAAAAAAAAAAAAAAATGAAGGAAAAAAAAAAATCCATCACAAATGTTTACCACTATTCAGAAATAAAGAACATTAAGCTGAAACCAGAATTCTATTCAAAAGAAGAGCAGCACTAGGAACAACAGAGGAAAGTGGACATACGCAATCTCAACCATCTTCATGAGGCTGAAAATCCTAGGATTTGATGTAGGTCGCAATTCATCCATAGACACCTTACACAAAGCCTTGACAAAGTCAACTATTGCCTCACTGTTCAACTTTGGGCTCCTAACGAATATGTGGCTCATTTCACCAACTTGTTCAAACATGTTCAAGTTAGAGACCATTTTATTCATCTGTTCAGAGGTAATCTCAGCAGCAGCACTGCCACTGACACCAGCACTATCATAAGAACCCCTTTTCATAGAAGAAGCTGCATTTTTTATTTTCCCAGGTCCTTTCTTTTTCAGACTATTTGATTTGGCTTGTTTCGACTGGTCAATATCATTCTGAGGAAGTGCAAAGAATACGGCATCTGGAGGAGCACCCTCCCATATGAGATGCAAATGCTCAAACCGAGAAGCACATGTGAATATATGTTCCCATGCATCCTCTAAGTAATTTCCATCCTCATCTGCAATTGTTACTATTGCCTGTTTGAAACAAAACTATCACTTAACCAAAAAATGAAAAATATTTAGGATTTTCATTTTCTTTTGGGTATATCTCACGGGGAGATGTATTAAAAGTTAAAACCTAGGTGAAATACCTGGAAAGGAGCTTTAACTTACCGCTAAGTAAAGCCCTTAACCTAACTATGATTTTATGAGCATCAACAAATGTCATTCATTAATGAAAACCTTAACCCATTCATAACTCATTTGATAAGCATGGCATATAATAAACAAATACAGACCTTTATGGCATCAATATTTTTTTGTTTGATATCTGCAGGTGAGTGAAGGGAAGTGAACTTTGCAACAGATATCACAAAAGCATCTCTATGCATTTTCATGGACATTGCTGCAATGATGTGAATAGCATAGCGGAAGCCTTTCAAACACTGAGCTATTACAACTTCCTCATCACTTTGGTCAAGAGAAACACTGAAAGCAGCCAACATTGGAGCCCAGCATGACTCAATCATGAACCTTAGGATCACCACATCTGTTGCCTCATAAAAATATGGCCTACAAATTGCAGAGAACAAGTTTACGAAGGTGGTAAACTATTTATGGAAAAAATAAAACAAGATGCAGCAGATGACACCT